AAACTTTTGAACACGTCACAAAAAAAATATTTTACCAGAATTTGTTCGATCGATTTTACGAGGTCTCGTTTTATATTTTTGCCACTATTCCATTCTCGTTAACATTGTTTTCGCGCGTTTTCACGCATACGTCACCCTGTATGTGTGTGTGTGTGTGTGTGTAAAAATAAAATGTTAAACAGAGAGCGAATAAGAGATTTTCTCTCCCTCGTTTAAACATTAACGGAGGATGGATGAAAGTAAATTATGCATCGTGTAAATGCGTGAAAATGGAACAGCCGCGGCATCGGTGAAATACAGACACTGGGGATGCGGTCGCGGATCGGATATATTCACGGTGATAATCAACAATTCATACCGCGCCATTTGACGGTGCGTGCTAGAATTTTAAGCCTCAAGGCAATGGATGAGCAATCGACGCGATCGGGTTATATTTACGTAAGCGAGAGAGAGAGAGAGAGAGAGAGAGAGAGAGGCGTAAAAAAATGCTGCGCGAAAGCGCCGGGGACATGTGTGTGTGGGAAAAACACAAAATTTCCATCGTGTGCCCGCGTGTAAATGCGCCGCCGGAGAGAGACGGGTATATCACGGACGTAGACGGCTACCACGGAAATTGCCCACCTGCCCGGTTTCCACGATCTCTTCATCCCTTCCTATTTCGAACGCGCGCGGGATGTATGATAAATCGAAGCGCATCGAGGCACTTTCTCGTTCCGGAAAAGAAGAGATACAGCGAGAAAACGCGCGCGCGCGCCCCTAGCATGTAGGTGTATTCTCATCCCGCCGTTTTTTCGCGACGTATCTCTCGCGGAAATTCACAATTAACAGTCGCCGTTAAAATAACATATTGTTGTTAGCAATATATATATATATACTAACACACATATCGTACATGTGTACATATTTATACGCCGTCCTGTAAAAAAATAATGAATGATGCATAAAATAGAACAGATTTCAATTATGCGCGCTTTTTTCTTTCGTCGTCCGGCTTTTCCGCCGGGATATACATATATATATATATATATATATATATATATATATATATATGCGGAGCATCGGTGATTTAATCCGCGAAATGTAAATAGAGAAATGTAAATAACGAAATGTAACTATTCGACCTGGTTTGCTGAAATGTACGAGCAAGTAAATATGGTGGGCGCGCGCGCGCCCTCCTCTCATCGTTTCAAAAGTAACGTAGGCGAACCGTTATCCTTTGAAGTGAATTACAGAAAAACGAACAACCAATCCTTTTAGTGTTCCTCGCCGCGATCAATACGTTATCGTTAACGGCGCAAGAGAAGGGTATCGACGATGGACGTAATACGGAAATGATTGTGTGTGCGTGTGACGACGTAATAATAATAATAATAATATAAAGAAATTGAAACAAAAGCGTAACAATTTTCCTCTCGATTTCTTTACGTAGTGCGGAATGTACAATTCTCCGGGAAAAAAAAAAGAGATACGAGGTAGTTTACAATTTGCATTTACGTTTCGTTTTTTTTTTTTTTTTTCCATTTTGTATCGTTACTTTTTTATTTCGTATCGTTACAAAAGCTCTGGGGAGTTTATTCTCGGAGTTTTTCTTCGGAGTGACATTTGTGTCAGACGAGTATAATACAACAATAACCACTTTGGTTTGGTGTACCTGCACTGTTGCGTTCCATTTGCTTGCCGTCGCTTCTGTAATTGCTATTCCTATGTGTACCCCGGCGCGTTTCACCGTTAGCGAACGTGGCGCCGGAAAATATCGATTCTCCGTGGAAATCATCTTAATGCGAATTGTTCCGTCCGATGCTGAATTAAGGTTAATATTGCAAGACTGATGAGACTTCTCGGCGGGATATTTGCAAATCTCTATTTTCTTGTTTTCTATTATCCGAGTGTATATACACTCGGTCCACTTACCCTCGCTCATTTCCTTTCTATTAGACCCCAAGCGATTGGACTTGCTTGACGCCATTACGCTAAACACGTTTATTGAACTCTCTCTCTCTCCCTCTCTCTCTCTCTCTCTTCCTCTCTCTGTCCCCTCTTCCAGCGTATTACGTGGATTAGGTGTAACATACGGCGGTATTACGCGATTGATGTATCATTGCGATGGGTCATTATTGGTTATTATTTCCGCTTTTCTATCGTAAATCTATATAAACGCAAGCTTCACTAATTGTTAACACTAATTGTTATGATATAAATATACATTTTAATTTGTGTATTCTTCCTTGTGAAATATAATAGTAGGGAAGTGGCCAATTTGAGGCAATAACCAGATCTTCGGTAAACTTCTTTATTTTTGTGTAGTTTTAAACAAACGTATCGACCCTTAATTTGGGTCTTCTTCAGTGTAAGGAAGGTTCGTAGGTGTAGGAAGAACTCAGTCTCTCCATCAGTCGCGCATCGCGCGGTCAACAACACGCGAAACAAAATCTCGATGATAGCAACGACTCGAAAAACGTACCGAATAGTACGAATTAGCGAGGGCCATTGACAGACTGTTTGTTTAAAATCTACACAAAAATAAAGAAGTTTATCGACCCGAAGATCTGGTTATTGCCTCGAATTGATCACTTCCTTACTATTATAACTACCTATATATAGATAGATAGATAGATAGCTTTATTTTTAACGCGCCCTGGGACAGGTCCCCTCAAGCGCTATTAACAAAATATAAATATGAAATTGACACGAGAAAATAATTAATGAACAACATGGTAGAAAGTATATATAAAAATATTTAAGTATAGAATATATAATTAAATATAAAATATATACATCATCTATTACTTAAAATCTCTTGAATTTTAACGTAATTTAATTGCGCATCAATAATTTATTTATGTAACGAAATTAATCAGCATCGTACATACATGTATAGAGAGAGAGAGAGATCGGTTGTTATAGCTGAAGGTTATATGGGGTTTAGCAAACTAACAGCGCGCGCGCGCGCGCGCACACACACGCACACATTGAAAATGATCGTCGAGCGCAGTTTAGCGCGAACAAAAATTTTCCGTACAAAAGCCCGCGACGGGAAAGGGTTGGCACGGGCGCGTCCCTTTGTGTTACACAGATAAACCATGCGAGTATAAGGATGAAAATTAGGAGCGGTCTGAAGTTTGATAATTAAGAGAGCACTATTCGCGCGCCAGAGTGGTTTGTAAGTTACGATGGAGTGCGCGCGGTTTAGCTACCGTTATCTTCTATATACGTGATACCCGTGCGCCGTTGCATCTTAACTTCGACCTTCGATCCTCCGTGGGTCCCTTCCGTGCCGCTTGGCTGGCGCAGTTAATGCCACTCCTATCCTCTTAAGATATCGCATTATCACTAAGAAGCTTTCCGCGCACGACGCAAACTCCGCCGCAAGTATAAAAGTGGATCGGATTAAAACTTAACGTGGATCTTCGCATAATTGCATTTCTAACAAGCGCGCGTCCATTGCCACGGCGAAGGTAGTAGCAAACGCCACGGCGACCTTACCTCGATTACACCGGGGTCTCCATTAAAACGACGAAGTCGTCGTCGGACGGCGAAGTGTGTGTGTGTGTGTGTGTGTGTCCGCGCTCTATATAGCCAAATCCTTCTTGCGGCGAAAGCTCATTACGAACCGCGCCACGATTCGTGCTGCTCGCACCAGACGTATTTAAAGTTAAATCGACGCGCGCGTCAAATCGCGGCGAATCTCTTTCTCAATCTCGTTGTAATTAAATCGCGTAACGCATTTGTGATTTTTTAAAATAATATAACACTATTTTTTTTTTTTTTTATTACAACTGTACAATTTCCGCAAAAGCTTATATGGAACGTCGAGATTTATTAAGTGTTGAAATTTTACAATCCCCTGTTTCGCGTACAAGCGCGCTTGTTGTGTAACGTGTGCGCGCGTACGTATCTGTGAGTTCCCTTCGCAACCCTTCATCCATTATATCCGCGTTCGGTTTCGCGGCTCTATCGTTCGCAACTTCTGACTGAAGCGCAGCACCGGCGTGTTGTGAGTTAAGTTAAGCAAAACTTATATCTAGTTTATGCACCTGTCTCTTCCCTCTTACAACCTCTGTAAACGCCGACGCGGCCTCCGCGCCGCAATCTGCTATTCCTGCGAGCGCGAGATTGCAGCCGCTACGTGGATTCGCGGAACCCGGAAGCACCGTCGAAGGGCATATCAGGTTCACGCATCGCTGGCATCATAATATACCCGGACCCCGGATTCAACGTCGTAGTTAGCGCATCTTCTATTAAGATCTGTCGAGGTTAACGAGCTCAACTTTCGACGACCAATTATCGCGGGGAATAGACTTTAGCTTTAAGCATTTTCACAACCCTCTTCCGCTTTTCACGGAAGGAAGATAGATAGTTTAAGGATTTCGCTTAGAACTCCCTACGTCGTAATCTCGACGTTTTTGTTTTGTGACAAAATTAAAACTTAAACGTAAGTGATATTTAAATAAATTGTTTTATAAAAGTCGAGAGAGAGAGAGAGAGAGAGAAAATAATTCTGGCGCGAAGAAAAGTGACGTATAAAATGAGAGACGTGTCGATATTCGAGTGACACGTTATATAGCGCAGTTTGTCGAAATCAATTGACGAGGATTTCTACATACAATCGCCAATAATTTTTCCAATGCGAAGACGATTAAATATAATTGTTCGATCGTTTCGAGCTCACGAAAATAACAAACCGCTCAAATAATATCTAAAAGCGTTCGTCGCAAAATGATAGTTAATATTTTATTTACAAAAATAATGTGTTGCGCAATGTGACTCCACTCGTGTGCAAAAATTATTTAATTCTTTTTACTCGATTATTTGCACAAAAAGCGATAGGTATGTTATTACACTGTTTTAGCAACGCGTTGCTTTTTTTTTTTTTTTTTTTTCACGATTCGTGCGCTTTTGTTAGCTCTCTCGAGCGTAGGTTGGATCGGAGAGCAAATTGTATTCCTCGCGCTCTCTTTAAACGTATAAACTTCAATGAAATGTCTGTCTTTGTTTTCCAGATAATTCACGGCGTGCACATCGAGCCGGCTCACGAAGTGAAGAAACGTAGCATCAATCAGCCAGTTCGCATTCTGTTATCTTACGACGAGAGCGTCTTTAGGTGAGTTTCACGAACGTGTGTTGTGTATGCATATGGAAATTTAACGTGTTATTCGAACGATATGAAATTACGTAGAATTACTATATATCCGCGAGGTGGTGCGCGCGCTCGGTGAATCGGATTCACCTCGCGGCACAAACCCGCGAGAGAGACAGAGAGCTAAAATATCTCGAGCGCCGATCTCTCGCGAGCAATCGAAAATAATGAGACGTGCGAATTTAGCTCTCGTGCAAGTTTCTCTAATAATTTCAAACGTCTCTCGCGTGTGCATATAATTTCCTTGATATAGTTTTCTATACACAAATATTATACGCGCGCCAATTTTAAAACGTTTAAAGATACGATGCACCGAGAACACGCGCAGTATCCGCGAATATCCGAGTAATCAAAGAATTAATCAAATTTGATTTTCTCCAAATTGAAACATTGAAATATTAAATATAGCACGCGCGTTGTACAATTTTGTGTAATATTCTTTTCTTCGCTTTGTTTCAACAAAATAATAATTTTTTTTTATCGTGTAACAGACGTTTCGTAATTTCCTACTCGGGTAATTAATCTTCCGCGTGCGCGATCCGTACGATTCGAAACAACGTGTGTGTGTGTGTGTGTGTGTGTGTTTTGTCGATGTCACCGCGTGTTATCACGACGGGCGTGTCTAACTCATTACGCATTTTTGCAGAACTCTAACACACTCAAGAGATCACCTTTTGCGCAAAGCTAATTTAGCAAAGTGGTCATAAATATTTCTCTCCGTCACTTAATTTTCAAATGGTGGCAGAAATTAGCTCTCGACGATAGTTTCGCTACCGTCCCGTCTCTTCGGTCGCCGTACTTCGGTCTTACCCGTCGCGACGTTGAAAAGAACAGAATCCGCTCTTGTCTCTCGCAAAGATAGAGTTTTTTAGCCGTAATTGTTCGCTCTCGCTTTTGCGAACGTTATTTCTAATCCGCATGAAAATTACCGTAACGTTGGGGAAGCGCGCCGCGCTTTTAAACGTTTTACGTCCCGAATATACGATATCGCATTCGCCGTTTCCGGCGGAATCTACTCGAGGTTAAAAGTACAGCCCGGCATGAAAATTCTGTTGCGAGAGAGAAAGAGAGAGAGAGAGAGAGTGTGTGTGTGTGTGTGTGCGTTTCAATATTGCCAGGTAACGTCTTGAAGAGATACAGTAATGGAACTTGAAACGGGGCGAAATTTCGTCCGCATTTAGGTTTTTAGTTTATTATTATTGTCCGTATTGCACCCACACACACGCTCTCGCGCTCTCTTTCTCTCCGCAAAGTTTCTGATACCTACTCTTACGCATATCCCAGTTATTTCTCAGAATGTGTATAATAGCGCTGCTGCTCGAGATATTTTAGGGACATTGCGGATTATCTTCCTCACCGCATATAGCCTTAGCGCACCTTCTCCTCGGGAGATGTTCTCTTCTGGCGGAAGGTAATGCGTTAAGGCCATAATAGCTGGAAACATGATAAGCAAAGATACGGTTACTGGCGCTAAACGACGATTTCGTGGTGGTGGTGTGAGATATGATATCGGGGGAGGGAAGAGACCGGTGTATGATATCAGAGCATTAACGCGATATAACGACGACGGACACTCGCGTATTTCATTTTGCGGGGCATATAATATGATTTCAACCGACGACCTGATTTTTATTCATCCCCGCGGCGAATTATTGCTAATATAAAAATATAATTAACGCTCGAGTTACGACAGAGAATTTTTTTAATCAGCGAAAATATATCTCTTATATTCTGTATTTGTTTTTTTTTTTTTTTTTTGCGTTCTCTCTTTGACTGTATTTTTCTCTCTGATCATCTTTTGCGAATGTTCTTCGATCTCGAATCGTAAAGCAATTATTTTTATCGCCTGTTTACTCGTAAAAAAAAAAAAAAAAGCAATTCCGCGTTCGAGTCGTCCCGACAATTTTCTGCGACAACCGCTCGATCGGATGCATATTATTAGCTCGTGACTTTTCACGTAGTCGCGCGGCAATTTTCGATCTCACGTTCTCTCCTGTCTCTCTCTCTCTCTCTTTCTGTGTAAAAAAAAAAAAACGCTTCCGTTTTTGCGCGATCATCAGATAGGTCGGCGACGTGTTGTTGTGAAGTGGCGACGCGACGTAACTGTTACGAAACGACTATTGCGAACTACTGCCACCACTACTATCTTGCCAACGATTCACAGACCATTGACCCGTTTTCACGAGTTTGATGCGGCCACGATGCACGAGCGGTGCTTCCTCTCCCTCTGTTTTGCCGTCGCGAAACGTATAATTATTATGTTTCAGGACGCCGAACGCATATATTTAACGATTCGCCGTGGCAGCTCGGCTGGAAAGCCGTCACATTATATGCCGGCGTGTGTTACGCGGAGGAAGCTCTTGCTGATCTGCCAAGAGATCTGCCGCGGAGCGCGCTTTTTGTCTCTACGGTTACTTACGGCGCGCATTAAATGAAAACGGGAAACGCAATGCGCGCGAATGAATGAGCGCGCGATGTGGCCGCGGGTCTCGGTATATATTCCGATTTCGGAGAGAAATTCGAATATTTATCATCACGTCGTGCGTGTTTACTAGGGCGCGTATTGTAATGGGTTTCGGTGCGCTCGCGTTCACAACGGTTAAATTTCTTTTGTTATATATTCGAGCAAAATACCTCGTTTCCAGTTCGTACACAATTAATTTAAACGGTTTAATTTTTTTTCACACGCTCTGATATAAAAGTTTTACAAAAAGGAATAAGAGCTTCGTTAAAATATATATATATATGTACACCGAAAAAATTGTATTCTTGTTTTGAGGAGAGATATCCCACTTACTTTAAGTATATTTTATACACCGAAAAAATTATATTCTCGTAAGTAGAAGATTTTATAATTAAAAAATCTTCTTAAAAATTTTAGATGATATGATAAGAATATAGTCTTTTTCGATAGTGAGATATATATGTTTTTCTATAGAGGCTTTTTATATTCTAATCAGTATATATTCTTATCAATATTACTATATTTAGAGGATTTTCCTTTTAAAATAAGAAACTCTTCTTGGCGCCTATTTTAGTATAAAATATATTTAAAGTAAATGGGATATCCTCAAAACAAGAATACAATTTTTTCGGTGTACTAAAATAGGCGCCAAGAAGAGTTTCTTATTTTAAGAGAAAAATCCTCTAAATAGTAATATTGATAAGAATATATACTGATTAGAATATAAAAAGCCTCTATAGAAAAACATATATATCTCACTATCGAAAAAGACTATACTACTACTTCTTAAATAAAGAATATATTCTTAATTTCAGAAGAATTATGATCTAAACTCTTTAAGAAGATTTTTTAAGTATAAAATCTTCTACTTACGAGAATATAATTTTTTCGGTGTATATGTATATATGTATATGACGGAGTGTAGCGAGTATTTCATTTCATACAAGAAGCAAAATTCAAATTGCGAGGATTGTCAAGCTAAGATAGATAAGATGTTACCGCGTCAAAAGTGCGAGAAACGTCACTTCGCACGACGATGTGACGTGAATTGCGCGGGATGCAGTTTTAAAGTGACGACCGCGACGAGCAACTTTTAACTCGCGAGAAACCGGAAGTTCAGCAGTTGTTTAAATGCCTCCGATGACACTCCGGCGAAACTTTTTGAGTGTGTCAGCTTTAACCCCCCTCTCTCTTCCCCTCGCAAGTTTCTGCGTTGAATTAACCGCCGCGCGTCTTGTTTCCGCGGACGTGTATTCGTCCGTAAACAAGATTTCAGTTATGCACAAAGGACTTTTCTCAGCTTAATCAGTTTTCGCGTAAATATTTTAATAGGGTTTCATCCGCGACGTCATCTCGACGTATCTCTTTCGCGAGGTGACGCGCTCGCAACAGCCCGAGTCGTTCTCCGACCCTCTCTCACAGAAAAGTCTTCCGAGTTAGACAAAGTTAAACTGCACAGTCATTAATTAACAACCATGCCCTCGCAGAGCTCGCGCGGTGTATAATTGAAATGTTTTTTATATCAACTGCGCTTTGCGCAGTTTTTTTTTTTTTTTTGTTTTTTTAAGTCTGACTTTCATTCGAGACTATTTTGTAATCTCGAGTTTCGAACTGACGCAACTATTACTGACAAAAGTATTGTATTTTACGACACGCGAGTTGTCAAGTAATTTGATTTCTTCTCGCGCGCATGTGAATTACTTAAACAATCAATTAACACAGAATGCGAAGGATATAATTAAATTTAATTAAACAATTAATTTTGATTGAAATTTGTGTAATTTTAATTTTGAATAATGTATACTGGTAAAAGATGCTTGTTGTTCTTAAAAAATATAATCATAGAGAAATTTGTTCGGGGAAAGCGCGCTCGAGAGACTATTTAATGTGCATCTCCGATGTACAAATCGCAGACTCCGACTTTTCGCGCGAGATGAAGTCACGTCGCGCCGTACCGTCAGACGCGCGACACCGTAGCGCATATTATGCACCGTTTCCTGCATATACACCTGCAACCTGGACGGAATCGTTCTGTCTCTCGGGCACGCGCGAGGAGCGTTGACCCGCACACAGCACATCGCATCTCGTTGATTTCACTTTCTACGCGCGATACTCGTCGAATATTTACGAGTTACGCGTTTATCGCTGCATTGCGTCCACCGATATTCGTGAATAAAGCGCGCGCCATTTCCGACACACAGTTGCGCGGAAATTCGTATCAACTCTCGCAAAAATTCGCGCTCTTTCGTTTCGCGATTTATTTGTTAAAAGAAAATAATTCAAAAAAGTCACAGAGAGAGAAGCGAACGGCTGAAAGTTGAAAAACAATTAAAGTACAAAATCGCGGAAAAGAAATGCAACATCAATTATGTGTGTGTATTCGAATGGAATGTGTGCGTTAACTTGTTTTCTTATATCTCTTTTATTATATAATTATTGTACATCTCTGAAATTTCTGTGACACAGTTTAAGCAAGTCGAATAATTAATTTGTTGCAAAT